TTGAATTTGGAGGAATTGTCGAAATTGTTTCTGATAATGATAACAGTATTAAGTCGGACATTGAGAGTAAAAAACTTCAACCAGTAAATGACTCAAATTTTCAGTTCTCTTTTAGTGATGAAAAGATTTCAGATCAATGCGGATATTCATCATATGCATATTGGTCATGGGAAAATTTGAATACTAATTTATTACCACCTTGTTACACAAGTATCAATAAAAGTTCACAATGGAATTATGGCTTTATTAACGATTTTAAACAACCATATCTCTACCGACAAGATTCGTCTTCAAAATACTACGTTGCATTTTATGAAGATTATCAATCATTAAATGCTAAACTCAATTATATAAAAGATAATAATTTAGCAGGAATCGCGATCGCTGATATCACAAAAGATTCATCATTGATAAACTTTATTTCAGGAAATAATCCTGTAGGAAATAAAACTTCAGGTACTCATTCACCTTCATCCACACCATCTTCGTCCAATGTAGGTGCGATAACGGGTGGTGTAATAGGTTCCTTGATTTTTGTTAGCGTATTAGTAGCAGCTGGTTTTATATTATATCGAAGAAGACACGAAGGAAAAATGTCTAATCCATTCATAGAGACAAATAATCAGGCTTGTTTGGATACAAATCCTCAGGTTTACTCTGATATAAATCGTCAGGTTCGTCCGGATACAAATAATCGGATTTTCTCAGACACAAATCATAAAGTCTCCTAATTATTAAAATGGTATGCTTTAAGAAGATTTATACTATTAAATAAGTGTCCAGCACGGGATTGGCTACGTATGAGACCAACTTCCTCTATAATTAATCACCTTAATAACGAACTCTAGATATAACGAACTGTAAAATTTTAAACTTTGTACTAGTTCGTTATATTCGGTATAGAAAATGTATACCCTTAAGAAAGAGTAATCTTATATAGCGAATTTTTTTTCTCAAAAACCATAGGTTCACTATGTAGGCTTTTGCAATACAATTTCATTAAATTTTCTTTTTACTACGATGATTACATGTAAAATTGTTAGTGAAATTACATTAGTGGTAAAGAATTTCATTATTATTGATAAAATCGATGTTTAATGTGAGATTATTTTCATCAGCATCTCTATTCATGTATATATTACATTTTATATGTGTATGTAGCTGTAGCTTATTTTTTTCTAAATTTTTGCAAATTTAAGTGGCAAAAATGAAAAACCATAAAAATTCTGGATACCTAAAATTACTGTCCAGAGCGAAACGGCGGACACTTTATTTCTAGCAAAAGACAAGTATCAATCGGACAGTTAGAGAAAAATGGCATGAAAGAAAAGTTCTTGAAAAACAATTTTGCTATAAGGTGGTAGGCTGGTAGTAGGGATGGTAAAAAAAACGGGTTAAACAGTTTTTAAACATTTTTTACTGGTTTAAATCTTTTTTTAAAACTTTGAAGTCAGATAAAATTTTGCCGAAACCTACAATATTAATTAATTTTAATTGTCAACCGAGAAAATTTTTTGAAAAAAGACGGTGTATATAATTTTGAATTTATTATATGTGAAATAATAAGAACAAATGATTTTTTAATTGGTAAACTGAATCAACACAGTCTTAGCAATAATTACAATTTTGGTGGTGTTTTTCGACCATGTTTATTAGGATCAACAACGACTGTAAAGTTTAACCGGATTTCTTTTAAAGGGGTCTTTTCGCGAATATGAGAAATTGAAGAAATTTGTTTGAATGTTAGTGTAGTAAAACCTCCATAAGTGCACGCTCTTGGGACCGAACTTTAATGATGTGCACTTAGAGAACAATAAGAAAAGGCGCATTTAGGGAGTGTGCGCACTTATAGAGGGTATCATGAGTTAACTAACCGAATTTGACATTTTTTTATACCAGGAATGAATGAATGTAATGAGTGTATGGTTTATATGATGTTTGAAGTGGTATCCGTTCACAAAATCTTATATCAAAAAGATTTATACTACAAATTAAATAAGTGTCCTACATGAGATCGGTTACGTATGAATTAGGGATGCCAAGAATACTCCTGACAAAACCTGATAAAAATATAAACTAGCTACGTGATAGGTTTATACTGTTTATATTTTTAACACTTTCGATTAAACCGTAAAAATATCAAAATATAAACTGATAAAACTACTGATAAAACTTTATACGTATGCTTGCGATAAACTTTATATTTAATTAAATTAGCATTTATATTGATGCATATGCTTACAATAAAACAATAATAAACTGTATTGTTTTTATATTTAATTAAATTAGATTTGCATTGTATAATATTTTTTAAAGCCAATTATCGTCAGTTTCATTTCCTAAGACCTCATCAACAATATTCGATACTTCAAAGTTCATATTTCCACGGCCTTTGCTTGACGTTGTTCTCGATTGTAATTTAAATTTTTCGTAATGCGATTCCATGTTATTAAAATTAAAAAAAGACAAAGTGAGATTTGCTATATCTTCAACATTAAGCTTTGTCTCAGAAGTTATAAATGTATCAGAATTCACTGGAGTAAAAACAGAAGTAGAAATATTCTGATTCGTAATATAAGGCTCATTATCATTGAATATATCATTTGTGTTAAATATATCTTGTAAGGATAAATCAATTGGAATTGTTGTTATATTAGCACATGCTCGTAATTCTTCCTCTATTAAATCTTTTCCATAATGTTCAAGTTCTTTTCAGATTTCTGAAAGTCAATACATCTGCAATTTGACCATAGATTCAACACAGTTAATTGTAAGTCAATTTTTTCGATCTTCATAAAACTATTTTAAAACAGAAAAATTCTGTTCACATGCTGTTTGTGATAGTATAATTGAAAACATTTTAATGGTTAAATCTTCTAGACTTGTATAATATTGTATATTATGTGTTAACCATCATGTAAATGTAGATTCTTTTTGAGGATTAAATTCCACATCATAAGGTTTTCTATAACAGATATATTTATAAAATTCTTCTAATAATTTAATGCAATCAGCTTGATTATGTTCAAGTGTTTTCTAATAATCATTAGCTGTAAGACATACTAAATGAAATGTTTGATTTTTAAGATCATATCCTAATAATTAATTATATAATTATATTAATTGCATTATTAATAAAATTATAATGTAAACTTTTATATAAATTTAAATTTATTTACTACATTATGATGAATATAAATAATAACTTAAAAGATATGCTTCATGATTAAGTTCTTTATACCGAATATTATAAATATTTATTATTTGTAATTTAAATGGATTTATTTCTGGAAGTTGGTAAATTACTGTATCCAATTTTAATATATTAATATAGTAATCTGCTAATGTTGCAAAATGTGTTTCAAGTCTTTCAATATATATTTTTATTGATTATATAATTTGGTTAATATAATGACAATTTATGAAAAAATTATCATTATTAATTATATTTTTTACAAGTTCATTTGTTAAAACATTTTCATAATTAGATTGAATCTAAATAATTAATATGTAATTTTAAAAAGTTTTTATAT